ATTCTCAATAGACCTAATTACAATTACTACTACTACTACTACTACTGTATATAGCTGAAGAAGTGAATTGACTGAAGCACAAACGATGCTAAGGAAAAGAAAGTGTCTCCTTAAGCTACATAAGTCTCAGATTTCACTTTTTTTACATTGAAGCATTACTATTTAAATTAGTATGCGTCGTACATCTGGTCCAAGTTCATTTCCTTATTTAATAACTTTTTTAAAAAAGAGGCTTAGAAGATAAAAGGACAGATAAAAATTTTAAAGACCATCGCATTAGATGGGTATAATTAACTATTTAAACCAACATGTAGCATTAGAACAGTATCCTAGCAAATCATTTTGTCCACTTTCTAAAATTATAAAGCAATGCAAGAAATTAGCCCTCCTTTTCTAGAAATTCAGAAAGACTATTTGTGGTCTGCCTTTTCTATTTGGAATGCAAGTTTAATATCCCAAACCAGAATACACAACTCAACAGTTCTGTTTTGATTAACTTACAGAGACTTAGTCTTTGGGATAATTTTCCACCCTAGAAAAGCATTTTATTGCACTTTGTTATTATTAGGTAAAACGTAAATATCATATGAATATCCTAAGAAGAACTGACCATACATAGGTTTGTAGAAACTCCAAAAGCAGAAAGGCCCCCAGTCCCTGAAACACCTGGTGGGTTGTGACTTTTGCCAGCAGAAGTAACAGAAGTTAGTATCGATAATGATTTCCCCTTAGCACAGAAGGCACTTTACGTCAATTAGGTAATGAGACATTAGTGTCTTGCAATGCATTAATTTGTTGAGGTTATTTACACCACAAGATGAATGGTGTTGATGAGATGTTATCAGAACATGACAATCTCGCACCAAGGATGACAAGAATGTATGCGTGAGGTTATTGTGATCCTCAGCAACAAGTGACCACTAGTTCACGACTACATAGTGCCTACCAGAAGAAGGCCTTACTGTTGATTTGTCCGTAGGTACTCCTTGTATCAAAAATTTAAAAGGAAGGGAAGTCCATCAAAACTGATTTAGTATATAAATGAAATTCAAAAGATGGACTACATTTAAAAAAAAGCAGAATCAATCAAGAGTTCCAATCTGCTGAAAATATACAAAACCTACTTGCTCAAGATACAAATCTAGCAGAAGAAAAGGGTTCAACTACAGAGGGTGTTTTAACTGTGCCAAACACTTTCACAACAGCCTCTTCCCCTCCTATTAAATAATAACAACAATAACAATAATAATAAAATCAAAGCAAGTCTGCTGTCGGCTTTGAATACTGTCTAGTGCTCAGAAGAATGCAGGTATCTGTGCAATCACGCATAAAGAGTGAAGTAAAGGAGATTCTGGCAAATAAAACCCAGATAACATTTCTCAGTATAAATGATTAGGGTAGTTTAGACAATTTACATCACTGCTCAATATCCACAGAGAAGTATTTGCAGAAGTAAGATGCATACACGTGTATATAGCATTAGCCAGAGGATTTTGTGTAAATAATAATTAACAGTAGTTTGCACAAGCAATCTCAATACCTTCAATACTCTGATTGCTATAGCTATTTCAGTGCTTAAAAATCAAGTTAGAACTGTCCTAATCTTTGACAGCTTCCTAAAACAGTCAGAATTAGGTATCTGGAGCTTTGTTATAAGTACAAACGAAGTGAGTTCATACTGAAGAAAAATTTATTCTCAAATTAAAATTCTTCTGTGACTAAATACGCCACCTGAACAATCCAGATTGGGAAGCACGTGAATAAAGTATTTCACTAAATGTTCCTAAAACAGGACCTCATTTAAATGAGGTAAATTAGCAAATATTCAGAAAAAAAAAATTTAGGACAATTCAGGCCAAATAAGAATCACCTCTTAAGTATAGGCATTAGAGAGGCACTGAAACCTAAAACTAGACAGGCTATCTCACAAATACTTTTTATGAAATTCAGTCAAGTTAGAAGGAAAAAAAAACCAAACCACCACACAAAAAAAAGCAACCGTCCCCCTGGCCAACCTCTAGGGTTTTTGTACAGTGTAGGCTTGCATTGCAAGGCTTCTACTTAGCCCTAAATGCTACTAACATAAAATGTAAATGCAGTCCTAGAAAGCTGTTTGGCAGAAAAATGAAGGTCCTCATGGGAACTGGCTGAATCTGAGGCAGCATTGCAGCCTTGCAGCAGAGAAGGTTGAAACGTTAAGAAGCAGGTTAAAGCAAGGGAATCTTCTCTGCTGGTACTTCCAAAACCACATCTGGAGTTCTGTGTTCAGGTTGGGCTCTCCACTATAAGACAGATACAGACACCCTGGAGTGAGACCAGCAGATGATAGCAAGACAATGAGGAGGTTGGAGCACAGGACAAGCAGAAGAAGAGAGAATGAGTTTGTTCAGCTGTAAGAAGAGAAGGCTCTGCAAAGACCTAATTCCTGTCTATGATGTAATGGGAGGGTGTAGAGAAGACAGAACTAGATTTTTCTCAGAGGTGCACAGTGATAGAACAAGAGGCGATGGACAAAGTTGGAACATAGGAAATTTTATTCAGGTATTTATCTTCCCACCACAGGTGTGATCAAACACTGGAAAATGGACCCAGAAACATTGAAAAAGGCCCTGTGCAACCTGCTCTAACTTGATCTTGCTTTGAGCAGAAAGTTAAACTACATAATCTCTGGAAGTCCAACCAACATAATTCCATGAACTTAGATGTGGATAGCCAGCAACATAGTGTTGATATTGTATAAAAAGTATAAAAATAAAAACTTCATAAATCAACCCGGATTCTGTCTTTGCAGGTAGTGGACCTTAGATCATCAGAAGATGCATTGCACGTCCATACATTTGAAGTTTTGTACACAAAAAGTCTTGTGGTGATTCCTTCATAACCAGTGCTTTTAATCCAAGATTTTTCTTCATTTAGCCCTTTGTTCTTTAAGTTATCAAAATAATGGACATAGGTAAAGCATTAGCTATTATACTCATGTATCATATAGCCATTACATTAAAGGCGAAAGGACGGAATAACCATTTACTTCTATAGAACACAGTAATGTAGAAAATATAAAACTATTACACCTTGAAACTCAAGAGATTTGCCCTCTGTATGAAGTTATACAGATAAATCTCACAGAATTCCTCTCTCCTTAACTAGCAATCAATAAACATGGATAAAATGTAGTCAGCTAGATTGTATTTCATCTCCTTATAAAAATAATTAGCAACACCCAATCAGTTCTACCCACGCAAAAGCATTGAAAAGAACAAGTGTTACTGAAATCATAATACGAAAACGTGTATCATTAATACTGCATCATATAGTCCAAAATCCACAACACTGAGAAAAGACAATAGTCAAGTTATTATCACTATCATTTTTTAAAGTCTTAAATACAAGCTTTTTGCTGCAAAATTAAGATCTGTCATATCTGATTCAGTAACACCCTCACCCCTGAATTCAATGCTTGACTCTTACAGAATTACTTACAGAAACTCATTCTAAACCTGAAACAATGACAATTTCATCTGTTCCTGGAACTTTTTCTGCTTTTGGTCCATTTGGAAAGTCCATAAAAATATTCCAGCTTTGTTATTAGAAGAGTTATTGCACTTCGTATTTAATGTCTCACATTTACCCACTGAAAACCTGAAATATCACTTTTTCCCACCCCCCCGGTATACTCAGTGACTCCACAGCAATACACGAATCTCTTATAAATTTTCTCCCTGGAAATTCGATTATAACCATTGAAGAGCAACAGGCCATCAGCCAGATCTTTAGGAAGTCAAAAGGAAAGAAAAGAAAAGTAAGCAACTGGAAGAATTTTCATTCTAATACACCTTCTAGAAAACATTTTCCCTCTAGCTCCTATCACCTTCATAGCAGTTTAAATACATACTTGAGGACAGGCTTTCATCACAACATTTGGACATTGCTAGTCTGAAGTCTGTTTCAAGTAGTTACAATAGAGTAGATTTCCAAATTCAGATATCCACATTTGAAAATGTAAGCCTTGGATTTATGAAAAAGTAAATGCACTGAAATATCTCACGACAATTATTCCTGTTCTTGACAAGTCTTCACACTTACTAATTATAGAAGAACTGATGATTTGCTTATGGAAAAAAAGAATAATTTTAGCAAATTTAAAATGAATTGTTAAATATATTGTAGTAAAAGTTTTCTAATAAAGTAAACTTGGTATGCAAATTATGTTTTAAAGTAGTTATTCCTCCATCATACTGAAACCGAAAGTCCTTATGATTACATGATAAATTAAGCCAGCTACTGGCAATAGACAGATCAGTGAGCCACAGCTGTATGGTAAACGGTGGTATTTCCAAGCGATGTTAATATTCTCTAGAGACACAATGTGACATTCTAGGCATCTGTTTTCCCTGTACAATTCCTATGGTGCAGCTAATTATGGCTTCCAGACAGCCACTGGAAAGATGACATTAAACCCATTAAAAACATCAGCTGTTTAAAATGAAATTCTTAAATTCCTTCATAAAAAAGCCATACCCTAACATCAACCACATTGGATGACTAGAAATAGCAATATAAGCATCTAAGTGAACTTCATGAGTTCTGGCAGCAATACAGAGCTCATATTGAAAGTCTCAGCCTTAGCATCACAGCATCATTAAGGCATCAGCCAGAGAACGTAGACACGTCCATTCAGGTCTTGATTTTAACATGTTCTTCAGTATCATGCCTGTTTGTTGTGCATCAACCAACAGGCAAAGTTTTTAAAAGAGGAAAAATATTTTCCAATTATCTGTATGTCTCAACCACATTGACAGTTGAGTTTGCAAGCTACAAACTGGAGGATGATACCTATCAGTGACCAAAATCTAAATAATTTTGGAAACATTCATCCAATTTCCTGCCATAGAACAAAACAAAGTTAACTATAACATGAGAAATAGAAAGAAAAGGAAAGAATTAAAATTGGGAAAAAGAAGAAATAAGAATATGTATAATGTTTTGCAGACATTACTCACCAAAAATAGAGTTCTGAAGTTGCTCAGATCGCCGAAGAATTCTTCTATGCTTACTGCTTTGGGATCAAAGGTAAAGTATTCTCCCAGATTTTCATACAATTTAATCATGTTGTTGTGCATGATGGACAATTTTTCATATTGCTCTCGGGCACTCTCAGCAAAGCTGTAAGGTTTTGTTAAGGAAAATGATTCAAATGTAATCCAATCTAACAGTAAAAAAAAAAAGTACAGAAAACTCAGTACAAAGGTTAGAACTGGACAATTTTCTAGAGCTGTCCTGCTTTCAAATATGACATTTTGATGAAATAATGTTTACATGTCTGCAAGTTCATATCAACATAAGATGGTGGCACACTTTTCCATGAAATGGTCCCTTTCCAATGGTGAAGATTTGCCATTAATAGACTATGCTACTGACTTTATAAAATTTCCAAATATCTTGGACATTTTTCTTCTAATAAATGATTAATTTTGTAAAATACATTCTATGAAAAGACATGCTGAAAATTAGTTTGCTGTGAGAATCTGACTATAATGCCCCACTCTTCATGTGATGTCATATCCCCCATATTATGTACCTATACTTTATCTGTAAAATTTGCATTATGCATAACTACCATAATTTTCTTTGCCTTTTATTAAAGACATGTCTTATTTGTGGATTCTTTAATGCCTAGCCACATAGCTCAGCTCATGCCTCAGGCTTCCTGAACTAGGTACACTTATCTGGGGAGCTCTCTCAACTATGTAATTTCACAGAATTTATAAAAATGGAATATCCACCCACCTGCCCCAGTTAACTGACATACAGCTTTGAAAAACTATTAGTAAGAAAAACACCACGGAACAACAGAAGTCTTTTTTTCCATTAGGAAGTATGGAAGTCTAGAAGTGAAACTGAGGTTGACTTCCATCCCAGCAGTCATCATTAAAAGTTTGGCATAATATTTTGAAATAGAAAACCGTGGCATTTTCTTCCCCTGTATGAAAAAAAAAATATTTTTAGAACGATTCATTTGCAAATACAGGAAGGGTGCAAACTACTAAGGGAAATATTCGTTTGCCTCAAAGCAAGTATGTTTCACTCTGCTGTTTTCTTCTGTTGTGGTTGCTTATATCCACAAAGATACAAAGTCCCAAATCACTGTTAAAAAACCCAGCTAGTACAGGATTAAACTAGTTCTGCTGATACTGAATTGTAACTGATGAAAAGTGTTGTGCTGTACATATCAAAACCCAAGAACAAAAGACACAAGTTATTCCCTGAAAAATCATGCAGCCTGTCTCCCTGTGGCTTTTACTTGTAATGACTCTCTTCCATGCGGATTCTGATTCTCAATACAGCAGAGCTCATGCTTCAACCTTTCCCCATACCTGAGTCTCTAATTTGAGACTCTGCCTAGTATCACATTTCTAATTACTCAACATTTTTGAGATCCCTATCTCACTGCAAAATAACAAACAACCTGGAAACTAATTAGGGGAGAGAGACATACAGAGAAATCGGATAAACCATTTATTTTTGAGATTAGACTAAACGCCAAAATGATTCTTCAGAAAACAGTCAACAAATTGCAGAATAAAGGAAGGAAATTCAGGTGGGTAGTCTACTCACAACATTTCCCTAGTATTTGGGTACTGTTGCGTACTTAAAAGGCTGTCATTTCACAAGCTACATGCAAGAGTACTAAGGCTGAAAATACCTTCCATTGGAAAGAGGCCTAATATTTCACTTGGATTTTCTTTTTCTCACTAATGGGAGGTATGGAAATAGTCATTTAAAAGTTGGCTTTTAAAAGTATCGTCAAAAACTTTATATAATGTAAATTTTTCTCCTAAGAAACTTATTTTCCAAGTAATCCTCTCTTCTTCATTAAAGCCTCCATAGCACAAAAGCAAAGTGTGTTCTTTTGTCAGCTTATAATGTTCATTTAGAATGGCAAAAAGGAGAAACCAACAACATGATGGATCTTAATGTATAAATACCAAGATTTTGAAACAGAAATATCTACCTATATAGTTTCATACCTGTGCAAACACAGTAGTGGTACCTATATTTTCAGTTTATTGAAATGAAGTTTAACCTGCTTGGTTAGAATTTCAAGCTTGGACTGTTGAATTGCTCATCTTAACACAAGACAAACTTGGTATACCTCAGTCTTCAATGACATTTAACTGTACAAAAGGAAATGCAAGTTTAATGGCAAGAATACATTAAATAGGTAATAATGGCACATTGCTGAATTATTGAGCACAGTCTAAAAATTTTAGAAAAACATGAATTGCCTTAGAGTCAGCAAACTACTGTGTTGAACAACTCACCAAAAATACTAGGAAAAAGAAATGTGAAGGTATGTAATTATACAAATCGTACCTGTGGTACCTCTTATAATATGAAACCAAATTAATATACTTAAAATGACTGAAAAGTCTGAAACAAACAAACAAACAAAACAAAACAAAAAAAAAAGAAAAAACCTTCAAACATTCCAGATTTGAAATTAATTCTTTGAGACAAAGCTCCCAGAGTCAAATTCTCCATTCAGGCTGCACATTCAACATGAGAAGTTGAATCACTAAAAAGAAAAAAACCCAATACTGCTACTGAAACTAGAACATATTTTAAAGTAACACTGTAGAAACATATACTGTAATTTCAACATTATTATTTTTTATCTAAGAAGTGCCAAACTGCAAATAAGAAATAGCATTAACAGATGGCTTGTAAGACAAAAGAATGTCGGTAAAATGGATTAATATGATGACCAAAGAGAGACTAGATCTTCATACTTATAAAATATTAGTAACTTGAAACATCACCTTGAAATGTTCTACTTCAAGCCATTGCAAATACAATCATTCCAGAGAAGCAAAGCCATACTTGTCTACACTATTTCATGAAAAACCATTTTGAAAAATCTAAGCTATCAAAACTTTGCATAATAGAAATACTTAATTCCAACAGTTTTCATTAATATAGATTGAAGCTTTAATGAGTGCTCATTTAAAAACTGTAAACAAGGTTTCATTCTTACTATTCTGAATCAAAACAAAAATCATAGAACTATCAAGTGTAAAGATGCTTGTTCAACTAAGAAAAATCACTTTATTCACAAGCTAGTTTTTCCACAAGCACAGAGTTTTTAGTTTCTTTCGCAACCATAAGAAAATGCTAAGCCAAGACTTTACTGTAAATACTATTATTTGAAAAATTAAACAAAAAACCCACCCAAAAAAACACTTGGGAGACATTTTTCCATCCTCAGTACCACATCTATTTCCCAGAGTTCCACATAAACCAAGAAAAATGGGTTTGTAAATCTGACTATACGAAGAGTTATTGCTTTATTAAGATTAGGAAATACACCACTGCAAAAATAACAGAACCATATCTAATTCCCATCTAGGCAACTTTATACCTATACACCTTACTTAAGTTTTGAAATACTTATTTTAGTGGTTACTAGGTAAAGGAAAGTTTATGGCTTTTAATCCATTTCCTTTTTTCTTTTTAATACTACTGTGGATAGCAAAATTAGTTTGAGATTTTCTAAGTGTCAAGTTTGAATTTTTGAAGAAGTGCTATTGCAGTTTAAAATTTACAGGTATCTTCCAAAAGTGCTATCCTATTTCACTGGTTTCAACACATCACGCTGAGATTAATAAATGAATATATCACTGTTCAGTAACTGGTGCCAAAAAGTTAATAATTTATGCTTTACCATGCAATCCAGTAAAATTGTCTATACACCAAGTCGCTGAAGAATTCTAAAGAAAATTAAAATGCAAACAAGTAACAAAAGAAAACTTCATGTCTTTTAAACTACAAAGATACAGGTAAATGCAGACCATTAACTTCCATTACCCTTATTACTTTATTAACTTTTGTTGCCAAATTTCAGTTATCTACTAATTCTACTTTTTCCTGTCTTCTTCCCGTTAAAAGAGAAGCTGGGAAGCTTTCACACCTTTTTTCTTTTTTTCTTTCTTTTTTTTTTTTTTAAAGGGTTTTGTTTATGTGTTTGCATTACAGCTACCAACTTAAGCTTCCATCCAGTTCTGTGGTTTGCTTGACAATGACCACCACCAAGAAGTGAAAAAAAAATGTTTAGATACCCAGATGGATAAGGATTTCTGCAGTGAGAATATTAAGTGTAGTGTCATCATCAGAATACAAGTAAATATTAGTACAGCTGTATAAAGCCAGCTGTAATGACTGAAAATATCTTTTCTCTCAGTCAATGATTTTTTACGCTTTGAAAGATGACCAGATGACTACAGTTTGCTGGCATTTCAGTGCAATGCCTAAATTAATTCACTTAATTAAGCAAGCAATGGATACAAATGTTACCATGACACTATGCTACCACATTATGTCAGAGACAAAGAATCACTAATTACCATCAATAGTAGCATTAAATTCTTTACATCCATAGTAGGACCACTGCCATGGTACTTCCATGCTTTCTCCTGGTTTCTTCCACGTAAACAGATGAGAAAAAAAAGATCGGAGAAATCAAGGTTAAAGACCCCAAATCTGCTGGAGGGAAAGTCATCACTTCTACCACAACATCTGCTATGAATTTCACATCAATATACCAAGAACTTGAATAATTGAGTTAATAAAGTACCTGAACACACAAAAAACTGACTTGCCCAAAGGCAAGACCTATTACTGTCAGTATTTACAAAGAAAATGAAAGCCAAAACTGACAGCTTGGCATTCATCAACAATAAATACACCACAGTAGAAAGAGCATTGGTAATTTAACTATACTTATAAAAAATGCACTGGTGTTCCAGCAGTTAAAGAGGCCCCTCTCCAGGGTATATAGTCACTAGAAAATGTAATTTAAGGGATGTTGACCACAGGTCTGAAACAATAAAACAAACAGACCACAGAGCTTATGTCTTTGATACCTCCAGAAGAAGAAAGAATGTACTGCAAACAAAAAGGAGATACCTGCCAGAAACTGCTTAACATTTTGCAAAAGCATTTCAAAGACTGAATACAAGTTCTTTTGACGTGTCCTTCCAGCTACTGGTTACAGGGAGCTGAAAACAGGTGAAAGCAGCATTCCATTGGGAGAGTTTTTCATGTAATGTTTGATTCTCAAAAGTTCATGCTGACATAAAAAAATTCGTTTAAGAAAGAGGCAGCTGGC